ACTTCACGTTTCACTTCTTCAACAATAACAATTTTTCATATTCAGACTTTTGATTTGAACAAAACTACAATGTTTATTAGTATCTGCCGTTTCTTATATCTTGACACGAACCCCAATACTCAAACGACGCACAAGTCAAGTGTGTTGTTCGAAGTGGAGGTCGGTCTAGCAACCACAATGAGTTTCGAAGAATATTCAACTCTGCGACCGCAGTTGCTTCTTCATCCTTCATCCTTTTAGAAGCTTATGTGGAATCGATTTTTAGCATGAATCCAGAATCATTAGAAGCAAATAGTGTGTGCCACTCACTTACCCGACTGCGATCCCGTTGCTATCCCTCTACAATAAGTCCGGGATCCCCTCGTTTTTGATAGAGTCCTCCATATACTTTCTGCCTGTGCGTATACCACTCTGTTGATTGAATTTAACCTGATTCGCCCTTACTTTTAACACGTTTGTGAGAATTTGCGGAACTTCGATAGCTTCACCCTGTCTGCTAGACATCCCTTGGCACCAAATGATTTCAACTCTATATAAAGTAAACGCAGCGACACGAGATTGTAGTGTATAGTATTGTAAACATTCAGCTATCTAGGTAAGTACTCAAGGGCTTACTGTGATGGTGGAGTTAGTAGTAACTCCGCTGGAAGCACGCTAACCCCGACAACCCTTTTGCTTGATAAAAGCCCCGAGTTTGTGACATCGTATTTCAATCTGCTCATTGTGACCAGATAATTGCCCCAACCAAACACCAATATAAAATATGACAGCAACAACATCATCTACCTGGCTAATAACAGGCGCCTCTTCCGGCATCGGTAAATCTCTCGCTCTTGAAGCTCTCAAGTCTGGCGCCAGAGTAGTTGGAACGTCTCGCGACGTGAACAAAGCTGAAATGTCTTTTCCTGAATTCACGAAAAGAGGAGGAATTTGGCTCGCTTTAGATCCCGCGCAAAAAGATGCCTTTGAAAGATTTTCAAAGTGCGCAACAGAGTATGACATCGATGTTCTAATCAATAACGCAGGTTATGCACTTATTGGCGGAGTGGAAGATACAAGGTCGGTTTTTGAATCATGTGCGATGATAGTATTTTCACTGACGTGCACAAATAGTGAGGATGAAGTACGAGAGCAGATAGAGGTTAATTTTTATGGGCCTCTTCGAGCTGTACGGGCCTGTCTTCCAGTAATGCGGTCAAAAGGATTTGGAAACCTTGTCCTTATAAGTAGTGGTGCTGGGTATGTCAAATCCAGCTCGTTGGGTCCTTCTCCACTGTTGATTATATTGCTTTCGAAATTCCACTGATAAATAATTGCACGTGTAAAGATTTATAGCGCGTCCGGCACGATCATCATATTCCGCCAGTAAATTCGCAATTGAGGCAGTTTATGAATCCCTTTCTCGTGAAGTCAAGACTTTCGGCATCAAAGTTCTCATCGTAGAGCCAGGGGCGTTCCGAACACCATTTGCAAGCAAGATCAGGACACCAGCTCAGTATCAAGTCAGTAATGGTTTCAGTGAAGCATACAAAGGTACTGCGGTTGAGCAGATGGTGAACGGAACTGTAAACATTATGTCTATTCCGGACTTTGTGAAAGGGGATCCTGATAAAGCTGCGCGAGCAATTGCCAGTGCTGTCATAGGAGGACATGATTATCTGCGTATGCCTCTAGGACCTGACTGTGTGACTGCATTAGAAGACAAGATTGGACAATTGCTAGAGGATCTAGATGCGACCAGATCCATCGCTGCCGGTACCAATTTTGGTTGATGGATTTGACCAAACAAAGATTTGGGTTTTGATCGGTTGACATGAAGCCAAGGGGTTGCTTTGTCAATCACCCGATTCGCATAGAATGGCGCCTAATACTATTCTCTGCATGTGAACAAATATAAATAGTCTGTGCATGCATGTATCTACTGATGTGATCGAGTACTGGACAAAATAACAAGTCTGGATTTCAAATACACAGGTCTCCTTTCCTTAGTTGTCCAACATTGTGTTCAATCCCAAATGCAACATGAGAATGTCTTTCTATCTGCCATTGAATTTCAGATTCTTCTTCAGCAGACTTATGATTGCCTGTTATGACCTGATCTGATACCGGTCCAAATTTGAGCCTACACTGACCGGGATCCTCCCGCAATGGTTCGGCACCTAAACAAGACCTCCCCAAGATTTCGTCCAGTTCTGGGTTACGAGTAGTTGCAATAATAGCTGAGAAGGAATTCGAATGTACTACCCCGTTGCATGTTACAGCGTGAATACCGACTGCTACAGCCATGATGGAAAATAAGAAGGCCAAGCCATACGATATGAGAAGCCAAAACGGATGGTATACATAATAATTGTTTGTGTTGGAGGTGAAAATTGTTTGCAGATCGCTATCACTGGTCAAATCCGGCGAGCTGAGATAACTGATGGTAATGTTGTTTGCCAAATCTTCAATACCACGCGCCAATGTCTGGTTTCGACAAAGCCAAGGTCGTGTTGTTGAACTGAAGGTATTGGTAAACGTAGAAGAGGGATTGCCGATAAGATATGAACTTTCATTCTTGAATGGGGTACTGGCAATTTCCTCACAGGCCATCAAACCCGTTCCAAGAATGTTAGTTGTTCCATAACCGCTGTATTGTTCATTCTGACTACTGCCAAGAGTGACGTCTCGTAAAGTTATGTTCCCGCCAAGTATAGCTCCAAGAGCATACATATGCGGAATATATTGATTCCACAATACCTTTGCCGAACCACCAGTTGCTGTTGCAACTGTAACACCATTCGAATCAGTGATTGTAGGTCCACTTTCTATATCGCCGACGTCCATATAAGAAAGATCATATTGTCCAATAGTCTCAATACTTTGCTGAATGACATACTGGACTCCATCAATGTACGATACTGCGATATTGAATGTCGCGTTCACCGCAGTACAAACCAATGCCGAGGTTGAAGTCTGGATCCACAGTTGAGGATAATAGGATCCATGTAATGTTAGTGGTGGTGGAATAAAACCTGCATTTGGTGTGCCTCCTGCATACCAAGTGCTCCACGAAGTATAAACAATCTTGCCAGAGCCTATACCGAACGTGGTATTTGTACGATTATCATTTTTATCATCGTATGTAAAGACGTTGTTTTGTTCATAATACTTGGTGATGTTGTTGAGTATGGCCTGCTGGGTGTCGTTCGGTTCGTTGCATTTTATCGACGGGCCATAAAATTGTAAAGTATATGACCATTCAGACCCGGACACTTGTCTAGATAATCCTAATACATTGATATTTGACGCTGTATTTATGGCAATGGTATTGGTGATCGAGACTGCATTATACTGGCCATCCACAGAATTGTTCCAACTGGCTTTAGAAAAATCGAGAACTGGCAAACGCACTTCCTCGGAAATGTTCTTTGCAACAATCATCAAAGTTGCTGCAGGTGCAATACTTGCAAGTCCTAGAAGCCTGTGAAGAATCAGTGACGGGCTCTTCTCACACATCAAATGTAGGGTTTCCAATCGTCGGAACTAGCAAACTAGATGTGGCATTTTGACATCTTGCATCAACTGAACAATCGGAGACATTTCAATTTCCCCTATTCTTGTATTGCAATTCAGACTATCAGACCTCTAAACCTTTAAAACATACCATGTAATGGCGCCCAATAGAATGGCAAGTTTTGCACCTTTCAATAGCTCGATACTGAATAGGGCTATAGGATCCGTTGACAAAGCAAAAAGACGATCTAAATTTCCTGTTTTGGAGATTAGTTTAAGGATCTCGAAGCTTTATTAACTACAAATAGTACTTATGCTCAATGGTTGGCGTTTAACAACCGTCCAGATATATTGACCTAAAGCGGCCGTCGTTGTTGCCTTAAAACAAGATGTAATTAAAAAGGCAAAGCCGGTGCCAATACGGGTGGGCCACGCTTGTTTTTTCTCGTCACCGGTTCTTTGGCCGCTGAGTGACATGTAGTAAAGGTGGTGAGCCAATGAAAGAATGAAGCCAGCAAAAAACATGAGCCCAATGAACGAGGGTTTCTTCCAATGGACCCCCCAGGTAGCAAATGGAGGCCTTGAAATTTGTGTAGATTTCCTTTGATTGTAAGAAACATCATCACCATCCGTCAAAGATTCATCGGATAATGATGATGGTACAAAGCTATTTTTACTATTGCCCACAGCCACAGGTGTCGAACGCGACTCTGGATTAAAAGTAACATCCTCGAGTGCTTGGTAGTCTGTTGACTCATCGGCTGGTTTGCGCCGACTTATTAATTCGATCATTCTCCAAGCTAAAGGAAGTCTTGGTCCTCATGAGAGATTGTTTTTAGCAGTCGAATGGAGATGCCAGACTGTGACGGTGACGGTGACACATGAGGCTGAAAATTTCTTCCGTTTTTGCTTCTCCTATATAATATAATGTCTGCTAATTTACTACTAACTATACGAACTAATTAGGTCGCTGGTCTCGCCCATATCGATGCTCCATAAAAGAGATAACAGTGCTTGCGCGTCGTGTCAAGCCCACGAGCCCATGAGCCCACTAATAATACTTAAATGATTGGAGTTTCACCGCCTGGCTCTGAACCATTCTCATGATCAGCGACTGAATGACAAGTTCAGCATCAAGCCCAGGTAAGGCCGGTAGACCGCACTGATGAAAATTGATTGCTTGGTTATCAGAGCATTATGTGCCTTTGACGGTGGAAAATAAATTTGAGTGTTCGACCTTGGTGTTTGACTTTGTCTCCTGCCCCGAGTCATCCACATCAATATAACCTCTCGAATTAATTGCCATCGAGATTCGAAGCCAGCACCACAGTACCTAGAATACTATTTCATCACAATGTAGTATCCGAGTTCGAATGCTTCACAATTCTGTTATCGAACAACCACCTACCTTTCACATTGATACTATCACTCCAATATATACCACAATGTATAGAGAGTGCCATGGGTCGCATTGATGAGCTGTTCAAATTTCAGGGTTAATATCAATGCCAATTCCATTTACTTCTGAGCGTCAGGTGACTCATTCATGTGACAACAGGGATGTCTTGACAGAATTGGGACTCCCAGCCATCCTCCATCTTTGAAAGGAGACCATTATGCGAAAGAAAGCATTCTGCGCCTTTGCACCAAGGTGTCAGTCAGTCAACCCACTCTAGACCTCCGTTGTCGTTGTCTACCCCGGTTTCACAATTTCAGCACTACGAGCCGCCGCCGCAAAAAAGAACTCCAACCCAACCAATGAAATATATACTTCGCGCATATCAGACAATGATTCCCCGTCCACCGATTCGCTCCCCATTTACGAACTCAATACACCTAAGATGAAGCGGACATTGTACATCTCATTCATAACATTGTCCGAAATTATCATCGCTTGTCAGCAATTTCGGAGTATGAAGCGATGGCAATCACCTCGACAAGACGCCTTGGAAGGAGCTCAGTGATTCTGATGCGGTAAAATCACCGATTTGATTTTTTTTAACTTTTTCAACACGAGCTGGTCCAGACCTCTAAATGGGACTAGAGGCCACCATTACAGTCGGGTACCGGTATCTTCGTAAAAGCTCAATTTAGCTCTTATAATCTTTCATGATCAGACGATCTTAGCCATCAACCCAGATCACTATCCCAATATTGGGAATACTAGGGTTGTGCGCCACCATCTGATTCCTTCATTATGATTGGGTTGTAATCACTCTCGAGTACCTAGGTACTTGATAGAAACATGTGATCAAATCGCCGTGTCAATCTGGCATCCCTGAACTGTCATCTCAGTTCCCCCGAAGAATCTTTTAGCCCTTCCAATGAGCATCGCCAGAAGCTCACCAAATACATGCAGCTGTGAACCAGGGATTTGGTTTCGGCCAAGCTGATTGTAATGACCCTGCATACAACAGGTGTTGGCAAGAGCACCTTCCCATGTGCCAATTTCGTTATGGCTCGGGCCACCAACGCTTTGAATCTGGAAGGATTTCGTACCATCAATCTCTCAAGATCAAGATGGATGTTGGTCTTTTCGGATTTGTTGTTGGAAGGAATGACTGCTTGGATATCATCTCAAGAACCTGCTCCACTGGCTCCACTGGTGCTTTATTACACAGGCTGATGATAGCAATCATTATGACAACAACAACAATCACCATGCAGTTTAAACTTGAGATTGAATCAGCATATCGGATACCTACACAGTACAGCATTTGCTGCAGCGGCCTCCATGCCTCCCTGCTGCATTAGCTACGCTACACCTGTTGTATCTATAATCTTACCAATGATACACTCCGTTCTGCCCGAACTCAATTTCTGATTCGCTGGGATCCTTACATCGACTTCTGCGAATCCGAATACATCAGTGAATTCCCGTTCCACCGACTTTCGAAAGCTTGTTTCGATGGGTTCCATGATAAATTAGGATCCAATCAGAAATAATTCCAACTATCCGAGCCATACAAACATACCTAGGTAACGGTAAGGATTCAATTCCTCCGCTTAGAAAAGTGGAAGCCACTGAGTGGCACTAACAACCCCGCACTGAATTTCCCCAACACCCCAACACCCCAAACTCCCCAAATTCCCCAAGTTCTCCACCTTCGGGTGAATAATAGAGCGACCCAATATTCCGTCTGCTTTATGCGCGTGGTCGCAGGGATAATTATTTAAAAACCCATAAGACGCCCACTTGCGCCTTCCTTTCCTTCTTCTTCACGTTTCTTCCACAAACCGACAATATGAGTAACGCTATCACGGAAGAAAAGCCGACCTTATCGGAGGTCGAAGCACATCCCACCTCCGCCGACATAGCTGTCTACCATGATGAGAAGATCGATGACAGAGCGCGCGCTATCAATGCCGAGCAAATTGAACATGACATGACTGTGCTTCAGGCTGTGAAAGCCTATCCCGCTGCCAGTTGGTGGGCATTCGTCATGTCATGCACCATTGTAAGCTATTGGCCCATGATAGGCTCTTGCCACGATAAGCAAATCATTTATCTAACTTGGTGACAGATCATGGAGTCCTACTGTGTTTTCCTTATGGGGCAGTTCATAGCCACGCATGAATTTGCCAAGGATTTTGGTAAACAAATCGGTCCCAATACCTGGATCATCGAAGCCTCATGGCAGTCCGCATTTCAGTGTAGTGGACCAGTAGGTGCCTTCATCGGCGTCTTCATCGCAGGTCCCATAACTAGTAGGATCGGATATCGATGGGCAACCATTGGCGGTCTCATGGCTCTGAACGCCTTCATCTTCATTTTCTATTTCGGCAACAGCCAAGGCATGTTTTTCGCGTCACAGATCTTGGAAGGCATTCCATGGGGTATTTTCATCGCCAATGCACCCGCTTATTGCTCCGAAATTGTGCCATTGAGACTGAGAGCTCCAGCGACGCAGATGCTGCAGATGTTCTGGGCTATTGGCGCACTTATTGTCGGAGGTATCACTTACCACTACCAATCAAAGAATGACTCTTCGGCGTACAGGTTCGTCTGCTCCCATAGATACTATCGAGGAGGTTTATACTAATGATCATATCAGAGTTCCCATTGCACTTCAGTGGATGTTCCCCACTCCTCTCGCCATTCTACTCTTCATTGCGCCTGAATCACCTTGGTGGCTTGTACGCAAAGGTCGTCTCGCCGAGGCAGAGAAGGCTATTGCACGACTTGGGCGCGCTTCTGCAAATGACAATCCCGCAGACGCAGTCGCGATGATACGACGTACAATCGAGCTCGAGAAGAGCGTGAAGCAGCCCAATCTTGTTGAGCTATGGAGAGGTACCGATCTTTACCGAACTTTGATTGTTTGCGGTGTATACGCGTCTCAAAACCTGACGGGCAACCTGATCGCTAACCAGGCGGTGTACTTTTTCAAACGTGAGTATATCCCATTCCTTGTAACGACGAAACACTGACATCAATTCAGAGGCCGGCATGGCAGACGATACCGCATTCGCTCTTGGTCTTATCACTTCCGCCCTCCAGTTGATCATGGTCATAGTCTCTTGGGTCCTCACTACCTACCTCGGTAGACGTACCATTTATGTCTATGGTCAATTCATTGCCACTGGATTTTTAGTCGCGCTTGGTATTGCGGCTTCAGTTGGTCATAGTAAGGCCGCTACTAATGCGCAAGCATCACTTGCCTTGCTCGTCTCAGTCCTTTTCTGTCTGGGACCTGCTCCTGCTTCATGGGTCATTATTGGCGAGACTTCTTCCGTTCGTCTTAGACCACTGACGACCGGTATCGGACGAGCTGCTTATTACTTGGTCAATATTCCTTGTATCTTCCTTGCTAGTTACATGCTCAATTCTGATAAGTGGGACTTGGGCGGCAAGAGTGGCTACGTCTGGGCTGGCACTGCCTTGTTCTGCAGTGTTATGTCTTGGCTCTTTATTCCAGAGATGAAGAATAGATCCTACCGTGAGATCGATATCTTGTTTACGCGTAAAGTACAGGCTCGCAAATGGTCGAGGACAGTGATCGACATCAACGATGATGAGTAGATGGAAGTTGTTTGAAGAAGCCGAAGTAGCACTCCTTTGGGAATGGGCGGCAGAGGGGGGTTTCTTACTGGATATTGTCCAATAATTATTTTCAAGATTAGTTGCATAATAAAGATCATATCGAAATCAATATCATGTTCGTATGGCGTGGAGACCAAAATTAAAACACGATTGCAAGAACGCGAGTAAGAGCAAGATCTAATTGCATTACTCAATAGAGAGATGGAAATTCTCCCTTGCGTAGCTGTAATGCTGCAAATATTTAAAATCATTTGTCAGATTTTTTAATCTACTGGAAACTCTTTTGGGGACTGTTGTAAACACAAAAATGAAGAAACACGATGTTGGTCATGAATTATTTAAAACTTTGAAGTTAATGCTTTGAAGTTATCGAGACCTAGAATAGGTTTAGTATAATTTACTAGCGAGCCAGTATACATGAGTATTCGATTCTATCTTGACATGGTGTTTAAAGTTTCCCAATTCCATGTCATTACCGGCTTAGATCACAGAAACCCATTTTACCTCCCTTCTACTGATATACGGCTTTCATACGTGAATGTTCTCTGGTTCACGTGAATATTGCGCGAACTCATCTCCTCAACTGTCAAGTCTCCATCACTTCTGGTTGATCCTATTATCATCATTTCCACCGTTTTAAGAACATTTGCATAGTTTTGGCCCTAACTATTATTCCGAGGATTTTATTAGTGGCCAGCATTAATGGTAACCACAACCCTAATAGGGATGATAGTAACCCAGGCAAAAAGTCCCCAATTGATCATCACTCTTCCTAATCTTAATTCAGAGCCTTTTAAAAATTTGAAAAAAGAAATTAATAGAATTTCAATTGAATTATATTTAACGTGGTTTATTAGTGAGTGGGTCATATCAATGAATAGATCACTTTCATCTCAATTTACATTTTCAAAACTATATTATTTAATAACAATCGAATCAATTAATTGAAATTATAAAGAATCTAATAATCTAGGATTTATTATATTATTTTGATAAGTTCTTATATTATATTCTATCTTTTTATATTTATTATAATATTTATTAAAAGATATTTTTTTATTAAAATTTCTTTTTTTTTTGATATTTATTATATTGAATCTGAATATTGATTTTTTATTAAAATAATATATTAAAAGTCTTTTATTTAATAAGTACTTTTTCTTAATATAATTAGATTTTTTTATATATTAATATTTATTTAATACTTTATTTGCTATTCGAAATATACAAATCTCTATATTTAGAAGTATGTTTTTATAAGCTAATCTTTTTATATTTTTAATTAAAATTAAAATAATTTTGGATATATATATAAAAAAACTTAATTAATAATAAATTATTCAAAATTTAATTAATATTAATTAAAAAAAACTTTAATTAAGTTATAAAAGATTTAAAAGATTTATTAATCTAAATTGAAAGAAAAGAAAATAAATATACAAATTTGAATATTTAATTTCGAAAATATAATTTCAGAATTAAATAGAATTAAATCTATTCTTCGAAACCCTGATTTCATATTCTGAAAAGTAATTGATTTCTTATATATAATTTTAAAAACTATAAAGAATTCAATTTTTGAAATATAATTGATATATATTTTAATAGTTTTATTAATTTAATTATTATATAAATATTTTAGATTATTAAAACAATTTATATTAAATAATTATATTAAATAATTTAAATATAATAATAAATATATATATTTAATATTATTCTTTTTATAATAATTTTAAAATAATATTAATTTATAACTTTTATATCCATTTAATATTTACTTTTTCTTCGATTTTTAACATACTTATTAAAGTATTTCAATTATTCTAAATTCATTTCATTATTTATTTATCTATTAAATAGAAATTTAATAATCTAATTTACAAAAACATTTATTTCAATATATTAATTAAAAAAATAAATTTATTTTTAATTTATTTTATTAATATAAATCAATTATATATAATATTTTAATTAATGAAAACTCTATAAATATATAAAGAGAATAAACTAAGAAATATTCAATATAAATAATTCTAATATTAATACTTTTTAAATCTTACAAAATTATTCTTGATTTATTTTTTTTAATTTAGATTTTAAATATTAATATTTAATATTATTTTTGAAATTTATATAATCTATATCTTCATAATTTATAAACTATATTTTCAATATTTAGAATTCTTTTATATATAAATAAATATATATAAAATTAATATAAATGAAATAAAATATTAAAATTTATTAATAAATATATAATAATCTATTATTGTTTAATTAAAAATTAAATATAATTACTTTGATATCAGTTTTTAATAAACTATATTTGCATTCTTTTTACTTCTAATAATATAAAAAGCAAAGTTTAATAAATAAAGGGTTTGAAAATTTACCTAGAGTTTTAAAATACTATAATATTTAATTTAATCCTATAATTATTTAATTAGAATCTTAATATTAAATATAATATTTAAATTTTATAAACTTTAAAAATTATATTTAATTCTAATAATATAATAATAGAATTTTATATTAGAATTTTTATATTCCTATATTTGAAAGTTTCAAGCATAACAAAATTTGAATTTTTTAAATATAATATAATATATATTTTAACAAATATAATAAAATTTGAATTTTGAATAATTTTTAAAAAGTTAGGTTTAATATATTAAAAGCTTTAATCAATATCTAAAAACTTATAATTTTAAATTTAAAAAATATAATAAATTAATATTAAAAGGTTTTAATTTAAATATTTAAGAATTAAAAATTTTGAATTCAAAAAGATTATATTAAATTTTCGAAGATTCAAATTTTAATATTTAAAAATTAATAATTTTAAATTTAAAGAATTTATTGATTTAATACTTAAGGATTTCAATTTAAATATATAGAAATTAATAATTTTAAATTCAGAGTATATAATAATTTAATATATAAGGGGTTTGATTTAAATATTAAGATCTAAATATTTTAAATATCATAATATTTTAATTTGATAAGTTTAAATAAAGAAAATTAAAAATTTATAAGCTGAAAATTGATATATTAGGGGAATGAGATTTCGATTTTATAAGAATTTTATATTCAATATAAGAGAGTTTTAGTTTTTAATATAAATAAAATTTAATTAGATTATTTCATTGAGATCTTAAGGTAGAAATATGATGAAGACTAAATATAGGGTTAAGGTTAGATGTTAGAGTAGATACTAGTAATGAATCAACTAGGTGAAATGTAGTATAAAGATTTTTCATTAATTCTTCTAAACTTATGAAAACTATAATGTAGTTTATTAGTGCGTACATCATATTAGTGCGTGTATTACTTTTACCTCAATTTATATTCTTCAATTTCAATATATAATTTATCAATTATTTATTATGTAATTAAATAATAAAAAAAGAAGAATATTCTTAATCATTAAAGTTATCGAAAAAAACAAAAAATTCTTGATTTGAAAAACTGTTAAGCTATATAATATTATATATATGATATTTATTTAAAAAATAAATAAAATAATTTCTGTAATTGAATTTCGATTATAAAATCTGAAACTTATTAAAATAAAAGAACAAATGATTATTTTATATATTCTTGATATAGATTCAAGAGATTTTTCTTCTAAACTTAAAGGAATAGAAGATATAACGAATTATATTCTCGAATTGAAAGGAGAAAAAGCTATTGGAAAGCTTTGAGTATATTGATTTATAAAACGATATAAAGAATTAAAGATGTGTTTTAAGTATATTTATAATTTTTAAAAAGCTTTTTATAAGGATTCTAAGCTTTTTAAAGAATGATTTTAATTAGTTATAAATATATAAGCGAAATATAATATTTTAGATAGAGATTTCTATAATTTCGATGAAATAGGCTTTATGATAGGAATTATATATATAATAATAATTATTATTAATACTAAGAGATATAACAAAAGCAAATTAGTATAACTAAACAATTGAAAATGAGCTATAGCAATAATATATGGGAATAGAAAGGATAAAACTATTCCTCTATTTCTAATAATTCAAGAATAGATTTATCTCTTTAATTGGTATATCGAAATCGATCTTTCTATAAATTAAATTATTAAACTTATATTTAATAAATAAACAAATAATAAAATAGATTTAGAATAATTGAAATACTTTAATAAATATATTAAGAATCGAAAAAAAAGCAAATATTGAATATTAATATTAAATAGATATAAAAACTATAAATCAATATTATTTCAGAATTATTATAAAAAGAATAATATTAAATATATATATTTATTATTATATTTAAATTATTTAATTTAATCATTTAATATAAATTGTTTTAATAATCTAAAATATTTATATAATAATCAAATTAATGGATCTATTAAAATATATATTAATTATATTTCAAAGATTGAATTCTTTATAGCTTTTAAAACTATATATAAGGAATTAATTATTTTTCAGAATATAAAATCAGGATTCTAAGGAATAGATTTAATTCTATTTAATTCTGAAATTATATTCTCGAAATTAGATATTCGAATTTGTATATTTATTCTCCTCTTTTTTGATTTAGATTAATAAATCTCTTAAATCCCTTATAATCTAATTGAAGCTCTTTTTCAATTAATATTAATTAAATCTCGAATAACTTATTATTAATCAAATTCATTTATACTTATATTTGAGATTATATTAATTTTAGTTAAAAGTATAAAGCAATTAGTTTATAAAAATATACTTTTGAATATAGAGATTTATATATTTCAAATAGCAAATGAGATATTAAGTAAATATTAATATATAAAAAAAACCTAATTATATTAAAAAAGAATATTCATTAAATAAAAAACTTTTGATATATTATTTTAATAAAAGATTGATATTTAGATTTAATATAATAAATATCAAAAAAAGAATAAATCTAATAAAGAAATATCTTTTATTCAATATTATAATAAATATAGAAAAATAGGTTAC